CAAGTGGGAGAGTACCAGTGCACCTTAAATGCTTCCTTGATAGCCAACTTAGATTTTTGCAGAGGTGAAACAAAGTCTATGTGCTCGAGTATTTTCGTCTTATGGGTTTCAGGGTGATGGTCCTCTCATGCTGCATATATTGGGTTGAATCTCTTGGAGGGAAACTCAAATTTTAGGTACTAAACTTCCCGAACTTGCTCCAACCTATGGGGCAAATATGAGTTTTAACCCAAAACTCATTTGTGGGGCAAATTTAGCTCAGGATTCCCCTTGGGTTAGGAGAAAATTTTCATTGTGACCAGAACACGAGTAATACTTTTATATAAGTGGTGGGAAATTGTATTTTTTAAGTTCTTAACTTTTTAACACACATATCTCACCATTTGTATAGTGACACGTGGTGTACCACCTTGTGTACTGATCACATTGAAAAATCTATCCTGGGTTAGTGGGGCTAGCCCACCATATATGTGTGTTTTTTTTAGTTTTATATTTATAAATTTATTGAATCCAACGACTAAGATCTAATATGATTAAATCCAACGGTAAAAGAAAATATCTAATGATCCAAATTTAAATCCAAGAGCTAAAGTAATAAAAAAAAATTATTTTAGGTGTTTCATATTCTTTCATAGTATTCCACAAGTTTCATGGGATCGGTTTTGGTGATTTTTCAATTTAGCGGAATCTAAATATTTTTAAGTTAGCATGTTCATAAAATTTAATTAGGATAGTCTACATAATTTTTTTTTATTTTTTAAAAATTACTTTAAGAAAAAAAAATCATCATAAATTCATTCTTTAATAATGTCGGGCTAAAAATTTAACCCATAAAGGTTGGAGGAGAAAAACTATGGCTAAAACCTAAATTTTTTTTACTTAAAATTTTAGGTTTTAACCTAAGGATTCGAGATAGTCTAAGGTGGGGATAACAAAAGGCCATTCAACAAAAAGGCAGAAGAAAAAATCCTAATCTTCAACCGCAAAGCTAACCGATGTCACCTCTATCACCACGCCAACAACCACAAGGGTAGCCACCCGAAAAAAATTAATTCCGCCTTGTATTCAATGAAAGTATCCTAGTGCAAAAAAATTCAACGTAAAACAAAAATCGCCACACCAAAGAAGAGCCAACAGATCCGGACCACAAACACAAGCCCCTACAAGTTGAACAACAAGCCTAAACAAATGGTAAGGGATGGGGCCCGGCTAAAGGGGTATCTAAACACCGTCGCTTTGATAAAAGCCGCAACAAACTTGGGCCCTGATTTCATGCATGAATATTAAATCCCTAGTATATTACCTTTCTTGCTAATTCCAAGAGTGTTTCTGGAATCCTACTAATACTCTATGCATGGATGTCATTGAATGCATCTGGACATTCTGTTAAGTTCCATTGAGTGAGTCTGCATCCCTAGATTATGTTCGGTTCCATTGAGTTCGTATGGATTCTAGAATCCAACCTCGTATCTTGTGTGTCAATTCTATTCTATTTCATGAGTGCATCTGGAATGTGTAACATTGTAATATGTTAGCTGAGCTCTTGTGTATTATTTATATTTGATTCCATGAGTGCAATTGCAACGTGTAACGTTGTGAGCCAAGCCTATTGTTGTTCTTATCTCCTAATTTTTTACTTAATCCCCCACCCCAATTAATTTCTCCCCAGTTTGGACCACAGCCAGCCTCAAACCAACTCCACCGCCTTTTCGGGGTCAAAAGTAGCCTTTGCCTCTAGTCATCATCTAGACTATAGATGGAGGGCCCCACAAGTTAACTAAATACAAATTGATGATCACATCAATAAATAGTTGGGTACTATTATTTTTGTCATGAAAGACATAATTAATATTATTATATACTCCTTAGTGCTTAGTCCACATCAATTAATTTGTCAAAATGTTGTTCGGCCTTAACAATTATTTATCTGTAGGTGATTAAGTGCTTAATTTTATGACCGACTTTCAAATACTAACTTATTGTAGCCAACAATTGATAGAACGACTCACTCAAATTTATGACAGAGTTTCAAAAAGTAATTTATTGTAACCAACTGATTTAGTGACTCGTTCAAACTTATGATGCATGGGTATAGACTAACACTCTTCTTCAAACACTGTGTGAATGATACACACATTTTAATGCTTATTATTGGGATCATACATGTTATAAATCCCTTTGTAAATATTATTTTTGAAAAAAAAATCAACCATGAGCTATGAAATCCGTTGCTGGCTACTGGCCCATTTTCGTGATTATTGAATGTTTTGAGATACTAAAGCCGTCTGTATCGCTCCTGAGAGAAAAACAAAAGCCATGTGTTGCGTGCTGGCACCTCGTCACTGGTGTTGGTGATTCTTTATTGTAAGTTTGGAGCATGAAGCTGCTAAATAATTTCTCCATACAAATTGATTAATATGATGTCCATCAATGTTTCATCAATCCATCGTGTAACGCACCAGCAAATACGTCGCCCAAAAGCTACAGTAATGCTTGTTGAGATCAAATTACATTGGAGCGCATTTACGTAAAGGGAGTGGAACAAGAGGAATGGGAATTGCACTCCTTCCGAGTTATTCAAGTGTTTACCAACATACTAGGAATTAGTCTCCCGAACAATAGGTGCGATTTGAATTTCGGGACAAAACCTCTGTTTGGAATCCCTTTTTTCTACCTAAAATACCCGTATCTCGTCTCCCTTCCACCTCTTTTGTCTATGTGGGCAGTGACCAATATCAAATGAGAAGAAAACATCAGAAGAGGGAAGAAGCAAATGGAGAAAAGAGATGGGGAAGCAAAGAATTGGGGAATGGGGTGCGGTGCGGTCTTCACGAGAAAAAAAATAATAATTGGCGGATAGGGAAGAAGAATCATAAGAGAACGAGAAGAAGAATCAAAAGGAAGCAAGTGTTAAAAAAAACGAAAATTATGACAAATTTTTCTGTTGTAATTTTCAATTGGCGGATGAGGACTTAAATGATTAAAATAAGGAAATGTATGCTAAAATGTACCTATAACGGTGTTAACAATTGGCGGATGAGGACTTAAATGATTAAAATAGGGAAATGCATGCTAAAATGTAACTATAACAGTGTTTAATTGTCAGAAAACGAAAATTATGACAAATTTTTCTTTTGTAATTTTCAAGTTGTTAAAAAAAAAACATGTAGACGGGTGAAAAAATGGGTAAATGGGTAAAAAAATGATAAACAGGTTCAAACACGGGTAAATGGTTATGGTTAAATAGGTAAATGGGCACACGGTTATGGGTATGGATAACCGTTTATAAACGGTTACGGTTATGAGTATAACTGTTTATGCAATTACCCAACGGGTAAATAGTTATGCGTGTATGAATATAAACGGTTATGGATAAATAACCGCAATTACCCGCCCACAAGAACCGTTGCCCATCCCTACTTGTGAGTAGTCAGCTAGCTTTACTTATGAATTGATGATGATCTTCCCTTAATTTTTCTTTCTTCATGTATGAACGCGTCGAATTTTTGTACGCGGAAGGTAAAGGTGCTTGAGTTGGGATTTTTTTATATTTCTTCTCTTTGATGATTTTCTAGGAAAGCCTGAGCACCATAAAATTTTCATTAACTTAATAAATCTCATTCATCTCAAATATCCCCTTCTCTTTCTTTGATATATTATCGAGCGCTCGCTTCTGTCTTCTTTTTTATTCACAAGTTACAAGTCTGTTGTTAGTTCCTTCAGAGAAACACAGAAACAGATGGAGTGTATCATGGCTATCGTGCAGATTTGCTGCAGATGGTTAACATTTTCTTCTCCGTCATCTGCTGCTGCTGGAGATGATGATGATGATGGTATTGAAGCTAATATCCCCCCTCGTCGGGAAAAGTATGATGTGTTTATCAGTTTCAGAGGTGAGGACACCCGCCGTGGTATTACCAGCCATCTTCATGCTGCCTTACTTCAGAAGAAAATTGAAACCTACATAGATTACAGACTTCAGAAAGGAGAAGAAATCCGACCTGCCCTTCTAGAGGCAATCGAGAAATCCACGCATTCGGTGATCATTTTCTCACAAAACTATGCTTCTTCCACATGGTGTTTGGATGAGCTTGTGCATATACTCGAATGCAAGGAAAGACATGGCCAGAAGGTTATACCCGTATTCTACGACATCAATCCATCTGATGTACGAAAACAACACGGGAGTTATGCGGATGCATTTGCTCAACTTGAAAAACGTTTCAAGGACAGTATTAATAAGGTGCACAAGTGGAGGGATGCTTTGAAGGCTGCAGGCAAGCTATCTGGGTTTGATTATTCAAACAATCAAGGGTAAGTAACTCATTCTTTAACTTGTATAAAATTATAAATTGGGTTATTATACAAAATAGTCTCTCAGATTTGCATGATCAATGGAAATGGTCTCTGAAATTGAAAATCAATAAAAATGGTCCATGAGATTGTCTACTATCCATGATTTTGGTTATTCCGTTAAAAACTCTTTGGGCAATTCAAAACTTTGTAACTCAATCGTTTCTTAATCAAATTCGACTCATAATATATCAAAATGAAGATAGAAAAGTGTAGAAGAAGATTATACCTATTTTGAAGCCTAATGGTTGCCGTGGATGGTCAAAAAATAGCTTGAAAGGTGACTGGTCAGTGGGAAAACTGGAAAACTCACCGGAAACTTGGTAAACTTTAAACGTTCATAACTTCTTCAATACTCAACAAAATCGAGTGATTTAAAAACAAAAATCATACTTTTTGACGAAAAGAAGAGAATTGTACCCTTTTTAAAAGGTTAACTCGTCGTGGTTTGGTCGGACAACGGCTCGAAAGTGGCTAACCATTTTCAAGTTAGCCAATTTTGAGCAGTTTTCCATAAAAACCACATCGAGTTAGCAGTCAAGATAGATACCATTCTCTTCGTCTCATTGAGAACTATGATTTTCTTTTTTGAATCACGCAATTTCGTTGAGTATTGAAGAAGTTATAAACGTTTAAAGTTTACCCAGTTTCCGGCGAGTTTTTCAGTTTTCCCGCGGACCAGTCACCTTTCAGGCAATTTTTCGGCCATCTCCGGCAATCATTGGGCTTCCAAATAGGTATAATCTTGTTCTACTTTCTTATTTTCATTTTGATATATTATGAGTCAAATTTGGTTAAGAATCGATTGAGTTACGAAGCTTTGAAAATTGCCCAAAAAGTTTTTAACGGAATGACCAAAATCATGGATGGTGAACTATCTCAGGGATCATTTCTATTGATTTTCAATCTCAGAGACCATTTATATTAATCATGCAAATCTTAGGGACTATTTTGTATAATAATCCTTATAAATTTTCTTTAAACTTGTGAGAATTTGATTAGATTTGGTAAAGCAGTACTCTATTTTAAACTTGGGGAGGGGTGGGGAGATTTTGGTTTTAACAAGACTTCGTGCCCAAGCGGTGCGGGTCGAAAAATTAGTCAGGTAATTAAAATCAAAACCTAAAAAAGAGTGGATTTTTTTTTTAATTTAGAGAACAACATTTCTAGTGGCAAAGTTAGGAATTGTCGAGGAAATGGACGAAATATAAAAGGATAAAAAATTTAAAATAATTTATACAACAAAATTCTTTCAATATTAGATAATATTAATGTCGTTCATAATTTATCAATACAAACAAATTATAATTGTTGTCGTGTCTTGAAAACATAGCATAATAGGCTGATTATCAATAAAAATAAACATCTCTCTCAATATAAACAACTCAATTATTGATCTCTCATTTCGTAGCGCAATAGTGTTTGACAATTCATTTCTTAAAATACAAAAAGATAACTTAGTCAAACGTCACTATTTGTGATACAAATCCAAAGAAAAAAAAAAAGTTGTGATAGGTGTGGTTGCTAGATGAAAGACACCTAGTGGCTAATTTGTTTGATGTTAGTGCATGGTAATCAAGTGTCAAACATGCAATCTCTCTTTACTTGATTTATAATGAGTTAATGCAAAACGCTCCCTGTATTAATTGGTACATACACTCCCTCAAGTTTCACACATCTTCATAATCTGTCCATCTCTTCTCTAATGGATAATGACTTCCATCACCTTTGAATTCACCTTTTAAAACCAACCTTGCCTCACAATTAAACGGCGACCCATGGAATTAGATTCATATGTGCCCCCATCTCCTGATCAAGATCCGTAAACTGATGTTTCCTCTAAAGACATCACCATATCAGACAACCCCAACATCTCGGCTCGCCTTTACCTCCCAAACATCCATCAAAATAAAACCTAAAAGCTCCCCATCTTGGTTTACTTTCACGGTGTTCTGTTCTATGTGTTGTCTGCCTATGGACTCTTCACCCACCACTGTCTTAATCCTTTGGTTTGCCTTTGATACGAAACGCACCGTTTCGTTTAATTCTTTTATTCCCAAAGCCCAAACGATGTCGTCTAAAAATAAAAAAATGGGACACTTTGGATGCGGTCCCTAGCTATCAATATTCTTTGATTGAAACCTTGTTAGTTTTTAATTTTTGATTGAGGTCCCTGACATTAATGTAATAATGTAAGTTACTATATTTTTTAAATTAAAAATTAAAAATTGAAATTTGTAATTGTTTATATTAATGAGATTTTAAATAAAACCCATAATTTATGGGATTAAAAATAATAAAATATAAATTACTCTCTATTATATTGTGTGTGTGTGTGTATAAATATATGTATGGGTACATTAACCAAAATTAACAAAAAAAGTTATTGTACCAAAACATGGATACATTCTCAAATCAACGAAAAAGAATGTACCCATATAAGTTTAAACATGGATTAAAAAATTTGAATGGATTTTATATTTAAAAAATGGTACATTTTACATATAACAAATTGATATATTTGAGAATGGGTACATTTAAGATTAAAAAAATTGAAAAAATTATATGAATGGGTATATTTAAGATTAAAAAATTGAGAATCTTTTTATATATAAAAAAAAAACTAATAGGTACAAACTTAATTTAATTTAATTTTTTATTATTTTGGAAATGTTTGAATTGAAAATTAATTAGAAGTTTAATAGAGGTGTGAGTATTAAACCCTAAATTAATTACTAATTTTTATATTAAAAAATTATATAATAAACATGTAAATTCATTATCACATTAATGCTAGGGACTTGAATCAAAATTTGAAAACTAATAAGGTCTTAGTCAATGAACAGTAAAAACTAGGGACCGGATACTAATTTTTCCGGAAGACATTGGATGCGGTCCTTAGTTATGAATATTTTTTTTATTGAAACCTTGTTGGTTTTTAATTTTTGATCGAGGTCCCTGAAATTAATGTGATAATTTATTTCTATGTATGTTACTATATTTTTTAAATTAAAAATTAGAAATTTTAGTTGTTTATATAAATGAGATTTTAAATAAATAAAAACCATAATTTGTGGGATTAAAAATATTAAAATATAAATATACTATTGTGTGTGTATATATATAAACATGGGCACATTCATCAAATTAACCAAAAAATTTATTGTATCAAAACATGGGTACATTCTTCAAAATCACAACAACAACAAAAATATTAGGCTTAATAACATTAGTAAATTTCTTCGATTAAACTTGACATGAATACATTTTAAAATCAAAGAAAAAAGAATGTACTCATATAAGTTTAAAAATGGATTAGAAAAAATTGAATAGATTTTATATATTAAAAAAAAGGGGGTACATTTTACATATAACAAATTGGTATATTTAAGAATGAGTACATTTTAAGATTAAAAAGTTTTACATGAATAGGTACATATAATTAGCATGGGTACATTTAGCAAAATAAAAAAATAATATATGGGTACAAATACAAATAAACTTTAAAAAATATCTGCACAAAAATAAATTAATATATGGGTACAAATTAAAACTTAAAAGAAAATTGGTACAAGTTAAAAAAGAATTACAAATTAAAAATTGGTACAAACTAAAACTAAAAATTTATGATAAAAATTTTAGTCATAAATATAAATATACTAATTGTAACATTTTTAACATTAATCGAATATATTTAGAAATAAAAAAAAATTATTATTGAAATAATTAATGATGTTATTAATACCCAAGGACCTTGATAAAAATTTGAAAAGGAATAGGATTTTAATCAATGGAGTAGCAAAAGGAAGGATGAGAACCTAATTTCTCCTAATGTAAATAATGGAACAAAATAGAACATTTTAATAGAAGGTGTAATGACAAATATAATGTCTTTGCATAAGAGACATATGTAGCATGCAATTCAATCGGCTTTTCAAACTTGTTTACAATAACCCTATTTACACATATTTACAACAACTCAACTCGATTTGCACATATATATGTACAATCATATTTACAATTCTATTTACGGATACAATGTCCTTATCATATTTGAAGCCAGCAACCAAACAACATATGATAATTCCAAAACACACAACGCAAGAATCTTTACTCAGTTAGTCTCCGATCTAATTACAACTCTAGAGTAAGTACTTCCAAAAGAATATGAACTTATATATATATTAACTATATAAATATAAATATAGATACAAATATATACCAAATCTCGACATACGTCCAGGATCGACATCTAACACAGGGACGTAGGGGACATCTTAACATACGTACAAGAGATGAATGAAATATTAGAACTGATACCTCAGAGTAAACATGATAGTGGACTCTCCCCCACATACAAATCTATATTCTCAAAATACACAACCCTTATTAGGGCCAAGACATACCCATAGGCTCAAAATACAAGTCTCAAAAGAAATAATACAATGAAAGGTAAAGTGGTAAACTAGTCGCTCCAAGTCTTTGATCTTTGCACTGCTACCCCCACCGACTCCTTGTAATCTACTCAGGCTTGTCACCTGTACAATCAGGCATGCAGTCCGCGCTAACGCACCCTGGCACGAATATCAAGAAGTCACGTACTATCGTTGCATGGGCTGAGGTCCAATTTGGTCGGGAAATGGCCAGAAATCACCTTAGACTGTCGAAACCTTAAATGGGTATTATTCGAATCGCTGTCAAATCGAACCCCAACGCCCCAACCAGTGTTTAGGCCTTGGTCCTAGGTTCAAGGAGAGTCTATTGGTGGAGGTGGTTGAAGGAACAAGCTTTAGAAATGGCCGATCGCCATCGAATACTCATGGACCCGTCGGTGGAGTTCTTCGCGAAACCGAGGCCAAATCTCATCGAGTTTGTGTAGAGACTGAAGGGAAACTGATGTGGTGATGTTTGGTGGTGATGGAAGTTCGAGAAAAGCCTGAAAAATCGATAGCAATCATGTC